ACGAGCGCGACCGTCTCTTTCAACGAAGCATATATCCTCAGTGTTTTTTATGAAAAAGAAATTTGTGATATCTGGCATTGTATCATTATACCATTGACAAAGTTGAATATTGCGATAATGAAGAGAAAAATTGGTTTGATCTTGCTCTAAACTATATGTATTCAACTAATAAGAATGTCAGCAATTAGTGAGTTTAATTAACGCCAATAAATCGATTATAAACTATTCTTACCACGCCTTTTTCATTACTATAGATTCCTATCAATCCTTTTGGCTCGTTAACCGTAATCATACAATGTTCTCCTGGATTAATTTTTTTAATTGCGCTTTGGTCGAATATTATTTTTGGTAAACGATTAATAGTATCAAAATATATCTCCAGTTTTTTAGTGATTTTGTTCCATAGAAATACTAGAATTTTTTTTTCCATTTGTGCGATATGTCTAAATTTTTGTAAAAATTAGTTGTAGTAATCACTAAAGCTACCGTACCGCTTATGGTTCTCTATCGCTATGAATATATTAACCTGAATTCAAAGGTCTCTTGGTCAATTTCTAAAGAAATTCCACTTCTTCTATACGAGTATAGAATCGGTTGAGGTATGTGAAATACATTTTTTTCAAGTTCTAACGTATCTTGTTGACTCAATTGAGTTTGAAAAAGTGTGATTTGTAATTGTGCCGGACGAGTCTTTTCAAACTCACGTAGCATTTTATAAGTTGTACTCAAACCATAATATTCTAATAAATAAATAATTTAAATTTTTATCAGATATAAGTCTAAATAACATAAATTTACTCACCTCGTTTCTTTTCTAAATCCAAAACCGTGAAAAGTTCACCCTCGGGATATCTCGATTCAGTTTCGGCGCAAATTCTTTCCACATTTTGAATTTTGATATCATGTTCCTTCAGATTGAATTTTCGTTCGAGTGCAATATTAACTGAACTATTGTGGTTCAAAATTTTTTGCGAAATTCTTTTTGCCACGTGAAGGAATGTATTATTTCTCCAATTCTTATATTTTTCGAAAAATTCTGTTAATATAAGCATATCAACGTTATTCTCAATAAGTTGTCTGGTAAAGACGTCATCAGTAGTCTTTTTTTCTTGTTCATCAAGGCTTAGAAGTATTTCGTACGAGTTATTTATTGTTTGATCTTCACTTATTATAAACTTAACGTTAACGTTAATATTTCCTTCTTTTGCAGGTTGTATTATTTTTTTAATAAGTTTATAAAGGTCTTTAGTTTTATCGAAAAAAATCGCCGAGATTGTGAGTTCTTTACTATTTGATGGATCTTGGTTGTATAAAGTGTATAACTTTGCAAAAATATATCGTTTTTTGATCGCTTGCCATGAAACATTATTGATGCGTTTTATAGTTGTTTGAATTTCGCTATACATTTGTGGATACTCTTCTCGTAATTCTTTAAAAGCTATGTAGAGATGAAGTTAATTCATCTATTGCTATGACATTTACATGTACTAATTGAATAGACTTACTTGTTTCATCAACTAATCGCATAGACTCTAAACTCGAATCAAGACCTTAACGTTAAATTTGAAACGCAAGCTTAATTCAATTCAATTTGTGTGTAAACCCAATTTAAATAATATCTTACCAATACTGTTTTTGTCGCTTCGGAAATCAGCTTTTGCTTGGTCCGAATCTGATTTTTGATCTTTGCTGTTTTAGTAAAAAAAATTATTTATATAATTATCTGCACTTATAATTTACCTGATTTTGCACCTGTTAGCATTTCTTCAAACCGGCTATAATAAAAAAGAATTAACAATTAGAAATGACATTCCATCTAACAATCATCAGAAAATTTACCTATACGAATCGTGCAAAAGCTGCAAAGCTATTTTCTCCATATTGTCAGCCTTCTTCTTGATTGATTCTTCTGCCATGGCTATTTTTTCCTTTTTTTCTATTTTCAATGCTTTCGTAGCATCAATATATGGTGCAAAGAGCTCGGGCATTTTTAAACAATCTTTAACAATAATCTCTAGTTGTTCCATTTTCAATTGACGACTTAAGTGAAGTGCACATTTTTGAGTTTCAAGTTTCACTTTGAAATATTCGCGAAGATTATTGATACTGTCAAAGCTCACATGGCCTCTTTCAGTATATTTCGTTGCGGGAAGGATTTCACGAGTGAGTAATGTTTGATTTGAAACTGATTCAACGATCAAAGGGTGTAAAGGAATGCCTTCGTTAGTCAAACTATTTTCGCGTATGCTGAGTTTTGGAATATGAACCTAATAAAAAATAAATTAAAACCTGTGCAGGAGTATTTCAGCAATTTAATTAATATAGATTCAATTACGAACCTCAAATCCAGGATAAAGTTCAAAATTTTCTTTTTGCTCCTGACTTTTTTTCACCTCAAAGTCATAGAATATGTTATTTTCATCGTACTCGTCGTCTTCTGAGTCACTCTCATTATCAGTTCCGAATGCTTGCCAGTTAATATTATTCAAGTCAGTCTCACTCATTATACATATTTGATGTTCAGTGAGTTTCGTAAGATATCTACACACATACAAATATTTTACAGTCATTAATTTTATGCTTAATTCCTTAAATTGAATTTAATATTAGACTATATTTATTACCTATGCATATTAGAAAGATTCTTTTTACGATGCGAGGAAGCCAAATCTTCATAACAACCATCTTCGCTCCAATGTATTACCAAGAATTG